CCACGTGAAACGAAGGTGGATGTCACCAAGTGTCACGCCTGCCACGCAAAGTGCCGCGGCGTCACAGGCGACAAATCCGGACCAAGCGCGCCACCCAGTACCATGAGTGCCACGCCTGCCACGCAAAATGACGGTGGATGCGAGTTTGTGCCACGCCTGCCGCGTGAAACGAAGGTGGATGTCACCAAGTGCCACGCCTGCCACGCAAAGTGCCGCGGCGTCACAGGCGACAAATCCGGACCAAGCGCGCCACTCAGTACCATGAGTGCCACGCCTGCCACGCAAAACGACGGTGGATGCGAGTTTTGTGCCACGCCTGCCACGTGAAACGAAGGTGGATGTCACCAAGTGCCACGCCTGCCACGCAAAGTGCCGCGGCGTCACAGGCGACAAATCCGGACCAAGCGCGCCAGCCAGTACCATGAGTGCCACGCCTGCCACGCAAAACGACGGTGGATGCGAGCTTGTGCCACGCCTGCCACGTGAAACGAAGGCGGATGTCACCAAGTGCCACGCCTGCCACGCAAAGTGCCGCGGCGTCACAGGCGACAAATCCGGACCAAGCCATGAGTGTCACGCCTGCCACGCAAAACGACGGTGGATGCGAGTTTTGTGCCACGTCTGCCATGTGAAACGAGAGTGGATGTCACCAAGTGCCACGCCTGCCACGCAAAGTGCCACGGCGTCACAGGCGACAAATCCGGACCAAGCGGGCCACCCAGTACCATGAGTGCCACGTCTGCCACGCAAAACGACGGTGGATGCGACTTTTTGTGGCCACGCCTGCCATGTGAAACGAAGGTGGATGTCACCAAGTGCCACGCCTGCCACGCAAAGTGCCGCGGCGTCACAGGCGACAAATCCGGACCAAGCGCGCCACCCAGTACCATGAGTGCCACGCCTGCCACGCAAAACGACGGTGGATGCGAGTTTTGTGCGCCTGCCACGTGAAACGAAGGTGGATGTCACCAAGTGCCACGCCTGCCACGCAAAGTGCCGCGGCGTCACAGGCGACAAATCCGGACCAAGCGCGCCACCCAGTCCCATGAGTGCCACGCCTGCCACGCAAAACGACGGTGGATGCGAGTTTTGTGCCACGCCTGCCACGTGAAACGAGGGTGGATGTCACCAAGTGCCACGCCTGCCACGCAAAGTGCTGCGGCGTCACAGGCGACAAATCCGGACCAAGCGCGCCACCCAGTACCATGAGTGCCACGCCTGCCACGCAAAACGACGGTGGATGCGAGTTTTGTGCGTCTGCCACGCGAAACGAAGGTGGATGTCACCAAGTGTCACGCCTGCCACGCAAAGTGCCGCGGCGTCACAGGCGACAAATCCGGACCAAGCGGGCCACCCAGTACCATGAGTGCCACGTCTGCCACGCAAAACGATGGTGGATGCAAGTT